AAAGAATAAGATATAATGGATAGGAATGCACTGATGCAGCAATTTCTGAGTATTTATGACTAACAACAGCTAAATACCGTAAGTAACTTCATGGATAGATAGGTACAGGGTGATCTATTATAAATGTAACCCCCTGCTAAAAGATTCAAGAAATTGTCAAAAGTTTTTAACTAAGTCAGTTTTAGGCATACAGGGTGCGTCAAAAAAGTGCAGCAGTGTGAAGTTATATTTTTTTAAATGGAACACTCTGTATATTGTGCGCCTATTTGTTAGTCCCCTTTAACCTTATTTCAACAATATAATTATGGTTTGATATGTTTATCCCTCAGTTTATCTCCAATAGTTATAGGGAAAAACGCGAAAATTCCTTCCTAGGTCTCTCATGTTATTTTTTTTTTAAATAATAATAATAGCTTAGACATCTGGATTTATTATAATATTATTCACCTTGTATATTAATGAATAAAATTTGAACAATAAACTGAAAATAAAAAAAATTCTAGAAAGCTCAAATGGTATAATTTTCCTTTTTTCAATATGAAACCTTAAAAGGGGTTTTCATGTTTTTCCCTATAACTGTTGAAGATAGACATATCAAACCCCATATCGTTGAAAACAGGTTAAAGGGGACTAACAAATAGGCGCACAATATACAGGGTGTTCCATTTAAAAAAATATAACTTAACGCTGCTGCACTTTTTTGACGCACCCTGTATGCCTAAAACTGACTTAGTTAAAAACTTTTGACAATTTCTTGATACTTTTGTATTCGACACTTCTGTCAAAAAAGTTAGCAGGGGGTTACATTTATAATAGATCACCCTGTACCTAGATTTAATGATATCAAATGTAGAGGTCAGGGTTGAAAGATAATAATCAATGGTCAAACAAACGAATCCATCTTGAACGAATTTGCAGTCTTAAGACGCGAAATAAAAATAGAGACTCAAACCGAGCATTTTAATTATAAGAAAACTATTAAAAATAATAATAATAGCGATCCCAACACTTTCTGGTCCTTTGTTCGGTCAAAGTTAAACAGCAGTGCTATACCAATGAAGATGACTCTTGACGATGTAAGATTGACGGATAAAACGAGTATCGCGGACGCGCACAATTTTTTTGCTCTGTGTTGGAGGGTGATTGCTTCGCTCAGCAAGTTAGTTACCTTAAATGTGGCTTTACCTTCCCCGAAATTTGTGATGCGGATATTATTTCTACCATCAAAAGCTTAAGCCTAAAAAAAGTACAGGTGATATTTATCAGCATGTGTTTACAAGCATACTGATTCCCTTCTGGCTCCTCTGAGGCATATTTTCAATTCAGTTTTAAAACAGGAGTGCTTTCCTGATTAACTTAAAGAAGCTATTGTTACACCAATTCACAATAATGGTCCAAGGGATAAGATCAGGAATTATCGACTTATTAGTTTAATAAACAGCATTGGTAAAATTTTTGAGAAGATTATTTATAATTTCATATTTACACATGTCTGTGACAAAATATCAAAGTGCCAGCGTGGTTTTCTGCCTGGCAAGTCAATGAGCACAAACCTTTGCGTTTTTTCCGAACATGTTTCAGAGACAATCTTGAATAAACACCAACTTGATGTCATCTATACTGGTTGTGCAAAAGCGTTTGACAAAATTAATCATAATGCTCTAATACAAAAGTTGGAAAGCCTTGGATTTTCTGGTGTTTTTGAGGTTTATGAGGTTTATCTGACTCAGCGACCACATAGAGTTAGGTTAGGGCATTTTTGCTCATAGGAGTATATTGCCACCTCAGGATTTCCCCAGGGCAGCAATTTAGGTCCTCTTCTCTTTTAAATTTTCGTCAATGACCTACTGGAGAGCCTGATGAGCTCCACAGGGTTAATGTTTGCTGATGATTTTAAATTGTTTAGACCAATAAATAGTAAGAATGATTTTGTTATACTCCAGAATGACCTGGATTTAGCGGTGGACTGCTTTGAAAATAATAAAATTTTTGTTAATATCGAAAAATACTGTGTAGTAGGTATCGTTTTATAGAAAGGTAAATGTATTTATCGAGGACTACTACGTTGAAAGTTGTGTACTGAAGAGGTGTCCTGAAGTCAAAGACTTAATGGGAGTGATGTTCCAGCAAAACTTCAAATTTAACCAGTCATTACAGTCATTTTATAAATAAGGCTTATAGAATTCTTGGCATTGTTATGCGAAATAGCAAAAATCTAAATATCCAAACTGCTACAAGACTTTATACTTCCATAGTGAGGCCACACTTGGAATTTGCTTCTTATATCTGGTCAACAAGTACTCATGTTAACAATAATGAAATTGAAAAGTTTCAAAAACGATTCCTAAGATATTTGTATGTTAAAAAGAACGGTGTATATCCATTTATGGACTTATACACATCGATGCTGGAAAGCTTCCATCTGTGTATGTTGTATGGCAGGAAGAAGACTCATGCTGTGATATTTATTTATAATATCATCAATAATTTAAGATACCTACTCAAATTATGATCTCATAAATTATATTAAGTTCAAAGTGCCAAAGATAATAAGACTATTGTCCTCGCTTGCTCTGGCTGCATCAGGGCATAAATCATATTTAGATAATTGTTGTTTGTTATTGTATAGGTGTTGTTGTTTCTTGTTTTATATACTTTATCTTTTTTTAATCACTTTTATTTTATACTACCTACTTTTGTTTATGTAACTAGCCTCTACCTGTAACTACCGCTTAGGTGTTTGTAAAGTGTATCAATAAATAAATAAATAAATAAATAATGTGCAAGAGGAAAGTAATAATAATTGCCAGAATGATGTTGGCATTCTGTAACGGATAGCCACCAAATTGCAGTTCAAGTGGCATATCTTTATTGAATATATGGATGGTAGTGAAAATAAGAGATAAAGCTAGAGACTTACTAAAAATGGTTTTTTGGATAACACAATAATTAAAAAAGGTTGGGGTAGCAGGCTCAATATGAAGCATATTTGGCCTTCGCACTTTGCAAGAGTTGTTCATGATTACTCGTCACTACTGGAATAGATATAGACTTTGAAATAGTGCAAGTTCTACCAAGTCAAGATCCACTTGAAACGCGAATAACTGCAGCAGTGGAGAAAATCATGACAGTAATATCCGAAAAAAAAACGGATCCTTGTGAGAAAGGTGTCACCACCAGTAGAGGATGTCCTCAAGGAGGGGTACTTTCACTTTTGATGTGGAGTATAGTAGTTGATGACCTGCTGAATGTACTGACCGATCAGGGCTTCACCTACTTTGGATATGCTGATGATATTGTCAACTCATCTATAAATAAAACCACTCTTTTCATCAAAAACCCATTGAAACTAGAACACGATTCATCGACAATCAATAGTTTTAGCAGGTCAATGCGTAAACTAATGTTTACACGAAATGGATATGAATGATGTCAGTACCAATTTGGGTCCTTCTCTCATCAGGGTCTCCTTACGCAAAGGAACAGTAGCTACACTCCTCTTCAGGGTCGCCTTACCCCAGAGATTCTTGCCCTTCAGTGCATCGCCGCCTATACCTGCGGGAACCAGTTGCATTCTCGTATTATATGTACAGGGTGTCAATATATTTTGACACCCACCTGCAGCCATATTTTCGGTGATACAGGTGATAAGTGAAAGGTGTAAATACAAAAGTTGTAGCATTTTATTTGAACCACCAGAATTTTTTATTAGATTGAAAAAATGAGCAACATAAAAAGAGAAAATACGTCAAAGTTCACTTTTTTTTTAAATGGAATGACTTTATTTTCTTTCAAATTCTTGAAGTTCTCGTTTTTCTGATTCAGATTATATAATATATTAATGATTCGTTCAATAGTTTTGGAAATAGCTGGAGTTCAGTTATTCAAAGACCTATCACGTATCAGAATGTTTTGTGAACAGGTCACAGGTAAATCAAAGTAAAATATATTCAAAAAACTACTGTCTTTGAATAACTGAACTCCAGATATTTCCAAAACTATTGAAAGAAACATTTACATATCATGTACGTAGAGCCCCAAACGTGAGTATCATGTGGCGTACCTACGTAGTGCCGTTTTGGTGATGTACCCCCTAGCAGGCAATATACGTTCAGCTCCTTTTAGGTTTTGGAATCAAAAAAGAAGAGAACCGGCTAAGGAACAAACAATGGCTAGATCAGCCAGGACTACGACAGGCCAAAGATCTATTGGGCAACTTCAACCAAAAAAGATCAGAACTGCTGGTCAACCTTAGCAATAAAAGTCTAAAGACTCTAACCGGGTTTCTCTCAGGGCATTGCAGACTTAAGAAATACCTACAGAAGTTGGGGTTAGAAGAAGGTGGCACCTGCAGATTTTGTGAAGACGGAGAAGAGACACCTCACCATCTTCTACTGCTCAAGGATGAGGAACTTGGGAAGTGCCCTTATACAGTTGGAAGAAATTCCAACCGCTAGATATCCTAAATTCCTAAAGTACCTAGGACTGGAGGGGCTGCTTTGAACAAGAAACCCAACTTAGCAATAGATCAACCTTGGTCGCGGTCGCGGTGTAACTGACACCTCCAACACACACACATACACATACACACATAAGAAAGGTGAGAGATGTGCTTGAATTTAGGAAGACACGAAAATAAAATATAATTATATTCGCTTGTAGAGCGAAGAAATAAATCTTAATGCAATATCACGCATTTGCATATTAAACCCTAATTAAATTATTATCCGTTAAATCTTCAGGCTTTCTTCCTCAACAATTTAAGAGAAAATTACCAGTTAAGTAAAAATTGTTTACTTCCATTCCTTGCGTAACAATTTTGTTCCTTGTGGTATTATGGTGCACTTTCTCATGATTTATCAAGAAGACCATGTATAGTCGAAAGTGAAAGGGATATTTTATAATTCGCTTTTTCTATCTTACCATTACGTGTTTCCGTACATTTTAATTGTATCAGAATGTTATAATGATTCAATGAAGCATTTAAAAAAAAAACTTACTTGAACCACTTGGTACCCATTTAATGCCAATCCACCAGAGCATGAACATGGTTGAATGATGGTATACGTGCAGGAACGAAAGTTGGTTTTTCTTTTTTCTTAAAATGAAAAAGAAGGAATCGGCAAATTCTAGGAGTTTTGAAAAGTAATACCACCACACAGCATTTGCAATCTGAAATTAAATTTAACTGTAAACAATGCATCAATTAGGTATTTTTTTCCTGGACAATTTACCTGTAATTCATCAGGATTTTGACTCTGCCGACATGGCTCGCAAATGTAACTGTATTTCAGTCTTGTCGATGCAGTGAGTAACTGTAAGAAATAAATTTTTAAAACAAATTTTTCCAAAAATATTAGGTAGGTACCTCAAATGCAATATAAAAATTCAATCCTGCCATTGCCATATTGTACGGTACTAGGAGCATCGTTAATTTGAATGGTTCACGTTTTTCCATATATTTAGGTCCTATTCGTACTAAGAAGAGATATAATGCTGTGAAAATTATAGTTGGAATTGGGGAGTCTACTAGTGGCCATCCTTTTGTTCTTTCGTCTATAAGGAAAAATATAAAATTCGTTAATATGTTAAAAATCAATAAAAAAATGTCTTCAATTGATGATACACCGCGGGAATTTGAGTTACAGGTTCACTTGACAGAAATGGTAGCGATTCAATCAGACTATTGAAGAGATTTGAAGCTCATGCATTGTTAAAAGTATCTTTGTAGATATATCGAAGAACGAAAGAACCATAGATTGAGAGAATGATGGCATGTGCTGTAGTAGGTAGGTAGGTACATAGCAACTTTGCTGCATCTTTGAGTCAACATTTTAATGGATCTCACCTTCAATATGCAACAGGATAAGAAAATAATAATCAAAAATTCACATAGTGTACAGTATTTAATCCATATTCGAAAGATGAACTCGGAGAGTATATTCTTTAAACCGACAATGTTCGATTTTCCAGTCTTGATCTGGGATGTTGATGGTTTAAAATCCACACGCTTATTTATTTTATGTACAATTGCTTTGATTAGCTAGGTAGCATACCTATCAACCATAAGCCTTTCACACAATTATTGTGTTTTAATTAAACATAAAACTTTATTTCAAAAAAAAAAAGCAATAATATTCTTACCTGATAAAGTTAAGGTCCATAGGTAATAATCGTATGCTTGCTGAACTACTGATTGAGTCGAATTTATTATTTGAGCCATGTTTGATTTTTAAATTACACTAAAGTTTCTGAAACAAAAAGAACGAATGTGTTAAAATGAATTGTCATTTAATACAAATACAGAGAGGGATTTTATCACTTCAACAGTTAATTCAACGTAATTATTGTTATGCGGTTTCAAGAAAAAATTACACAAATGCAATCACTGCTTTTTTATTGTTCAAGTAATAAAACCATGCACTATAAATATCAAACGATTTAACGCACATAAAATCTGTTCTAACCATATCCAACTTCGAAACTGTTAGTTCTAAAGGCTGGTTTCCAGTTGTATCAAACCACCAAGAATGTTTGTGACAGTAATTCAGTAGGTTTTTTTTTTTTCAATTCACCCCAATTTTGAAATTTTTACTACAATTAATAAACCCTTTATACCTTCACTAGATACCCGCTCCTAAACATAAAATCAAAACACGATTTCACTAAAACATCACTCTCGGAAAAGCTCCACTACTACCGGTCCTGATAACTTGCAATATATTATCAAGGTGAACGCATACCTAGGTAATAGTTGTAACAAGTAAGTAGATTACTACATGGAAGTAAGAGTTATAATTGTTTTATAACTGCAATTATGACGTAAAGTTTTGCAGAAACGGAAAAAAGCGAAATGATCACTGCCGTGTTATTCCACTATTACGATAAAATTGACGACCCTGCACTTGGACATCGCAAATCGGGGAGAAATTCTTGAAGGAGAAAGTAGATTTTCTGTTAATGTCGCGGTAAACGATACTGGTTACACATCACATATAGCAGCGTGGGTTCTTGAAAATCTTTATTGCAACTTAATGAACTGCACTTTGAATTTTATTGCTGAAATATAAGAATTACCAATGATGTTCTTTATGAAACCATGAAATTAAAGATTTCATCAGCGATAGAACATAACGTTACAACAATTCAAAAGTTTCGTTTGTGTTTTGTAGTTGTAAAGTTGGCAATCAAAATATAAATTTTAGGTTGGTAATAGAATTAGGTACTAATTAGTTTTTTTTTTTTGGTTTTGGCAACAGTGTGTGTGTTTTTGACACGATGACATATGACAAGAGATAGTGAGAGAGGAAGCAAGCTAGCTCTGTAGTCTGTACCGGGTGTTTTTTTATCTTTGATATCACCTGTAACTTTTTTGTTTTTAAAGATATTAAGGTAAACAAAAAAACAAAATGTAGGATTAGTTGCCAAGTTTTTTTTCAAGTTACACATAAAATAAAACACTATCAATTTTTTGACATATAAGCCTAGGTACATTATATTTTTTCAAATGGAACACCCTGTATATTATATGTGTGTTCGATAGAATATCTTATTCTCATTACAATGATATAACACACTTCATATTTTAGTCCACTCCCTTTTGACAAGTCGGGAAAAATATATGAAATTTTTATATACACTCTCAATCATTCTCGTCCCAAATATCAGACCCCTGCCTAATAAGTTTCACTTCAAAAGTTTCATATTTTAACCGATTTCTCAAAAACGAGTGGATTAAAATATGAAGCGTGTTATATCATTGTAATCAGAATAAGATATTCTATCGAACACACATATAATATGCAGGGTGTTCCATTTAAAAAACATAATGTAGGCTTATGTCAAAAAATTGATAGTGTTTTGTTTTATGTGTAACTTGGCTACTCACCCAACATTTTATTTTTTTGTTTACCTTGATAACTTCAAAAACAAAAATGTTACAGGTGATCAAAATGATATCAAAGATAAAATATACCCGGTACCTTCCTTTTGTAATTTGGAAATTATTCTTTTTTACTTGTTTAATTAATTAAACGCTTCAGTAGAATAATCTTTGTATTATTATTGCCACCATCGACCTCAATAGGTTATGGGCCCAGTCTCAGTTGCAGTTTGAAAGTGGCAGTGATCCGAGTTTATTGTTTTTTCGTGTGTGGTGAGTGTAAAACCGTTTCAAGATGGAAGCCCTCGCAGTAAACAAATTGAATAACTCCAATTGGAATGTGTGGAAATTCCAAATGAAAGTTGTTTTGATGGCCAAAGGTTTTTTTGAAATTACCTGTCGTGATGACCCAGCACCGGTTGGGGATGCTGAAAAGCTAGCTAAATGGAAATTGAAAGATGGAAAAGCTCAGGAGGCATTGGTTATTAGAATTGAGGAAGAGGTAATTTCCCATGTTATGCAGTGTGAAACTGCCAAAGAAATGTGGCTGAAGCTTGAAAGTATTTATGAAAGGAATTCTGAGGTCAGCACACATCTGCTAAATGAACACCACTACAACCTAAAATTCCAAAATGAAACCATGAATGGTTTCATCACCAAAGTAACCAATTTGCAAGCGAAACTAAGGCAAAAAGGAGAAGAAATCCCGAAAAAAATGGTTATGACTAAAATTATAATGGCATTGCCCGAAAGTTATAAGCATTTTCGGTCAGCTTGGGAGAGTGTTAGTGCTGATAACTAAACACTAAATAATTTAACCGCCAGACTTATGATAGAAGAAGAGAAATTAAAAAAAAAGAAAAAAGAAGACTCCACATTGGCACTTATAACTGTTCATGGACGTCAAAATCAGCTGTCGGGTGTTACTCGTCAACAACAACAGTTTCTTGATAAACAGAAAATATGTTTTGGTTGTGGAAAATTGGGACATCTTAAATTTCAGTGCAGAAATGTGACGTGTGCCTACTGTAAGAAAAAGTTAAAAGGGCCACCTGTTAAAAGACTGTTTTGCCAAAAAGAAAAAGGCGGAAAGGGACAAAGGCTCAGGCAAGGAAAATGACAACAACTTTGCCCTGATTGCTATATCCAGTGTAAATAAGGCACAAGTAAACGTGGAGTGGTTTATGGATAGTGGTACTTCACAGCACATGTGCAGACAAAAGCAGCTGTTTTGCAGCTTTGAAGAGCTGGAAATTCCCAAGTTTATAAAAATAGGTGATGGTAAAACATTGAAAGCAATTGTAATGTATGTATTTTAGCATTTAATGGTAAACATTTTCATAATGTAACTTTGCATGACGTTCTCTTTGTTCCTGAACTAAAAGTAAATTTATTTTCCCAAGGGAAAGCCCTAGATAGGGGCTTGTCACTATATTCAGACGCTGAAAAAGCACAGTTTGTGAACAAGGAGAATGTTACTGTGGCAATCGCTGTACGTGATGAAAAGCTTTTCAGAATGATTATTCAGTTGAGATCTGACAACCCTTATGAATGCACATGTCCTTGCCGAAAAGGCAATTGTTTTTTTGTCAAAGATAGCCAAGATTTTATGTGGTGGCACAGAGCTGTGGCACAGAGCTTTGGCTCATCAAAACCCTAGGTACATCAAAAATGTTTTGCAGCGTAATAATATTGATGCCACACATACTGATTTTTTCTGTTCCTCTTGCATACAAGGCAAGGCAAACACTCAAACAGTGCCGAGAACCTTTTAAGGTAAGTGAAAATAGGGCCAGTAATCTTGGGGATTTAATTCATATTGACCTCTGTGGGCCTATGGAAGAGCCCTCTTCAAATAAATATAGGTATATTTTCTTGTGAAAAGATGATTATAGCAATTTCATTATTTTTTGGAAATTGAATCCGATGTTTATGAGAAATTAAAAGATTTTTTGACTTATTTTAAAATACAAACAGGTAGATCAGTGAAGGTTATAAGAAGCGACAATGGCACTGAGTTTGACAACTTAGCTGTAAAGAAGCTGTTTAACTTAAATGGCATAAAACACGAGTTCACAGTAGCATACACGCCACAACAAAATGGGCGGGCAGAAAGGGAGTTCCGCACTATAATGGAGGTAGTAAGAGCTATGTTGGCCGAAGGAGATTTATCAAAACGTTTTTGGGCTGAAGCCCACACAGCTGTTTTTTTGTTAAACCGAACAGGTGCCAGTCCTACAGAAGCTAAGACTCCCCATGGGCGTCGTTTGGGGGGGCAAGGGGGGGCATTTGCCCCCCCCCAGAAATAGTCTTTTGAACAAGAAAGCAGTAAAAGAGAGTTCGTATTCGTATTGCTTTTTTCCATTTTTTCAAAATTTGTTAGGTATTTTGAAAAATTGGCTGACATTTCATTACATTCAACGGAATTGAATTTCACTTGAGTTAGGGCCGGTATTGTAAAACGCCGAACCGATGGTAGAGTTTCAACCTTCGGTTGAATCCTATCAATTTGCAAGGAGTCAACCCAAGGTTGAAACCCAATCATCGATTCAGTGTTTCATAATACCGGCCATTAGAAAATTACCTAAAGAAATGCAGACAGTGAATTTGTTGCGGAAAAAATACCATCATTTTTAACTAAATATCGTGTCAAATAAGTACAGTCATGAGCACAAAAAGTGGGATACCCGACTGACAGGTCTTGTCATTTTTCGCTATTTTGCGTAAATCAGTCTTTTCTCTACAAGCGATTTTTTGTCAAATATGACAATCCCTGTCATTGGCGTAGGTATAGCTGGTGAGCCCGTTTTACAATAGGAAAAAACGGGTGTCCCACTTTTTGTGCTCACGACTATAAAGTCCGTTTTTTTTTTAAAGATAAAAGTCAAAATGACATTATGTTGGCAATACAATGTAAAATTGTCAATGCTTTCAAATATTTGTGTAGAAAAGGTTTGTGTTGCCAACATAGTTACTAGATTTCTGACTTGGGGAATTATCTTTAAAAAAAAAACACACTTTACGTTAAAATGCTCAAAAAGGGGCGTGGCACCAAAAAAAATTAGCCTACGGCGGTTGCCTGCGGCGCTAATGGAAATGGTCTTATTATAATACTGCCCCCCCCCCCCTGAGAAACTTCGTAACGACGCCCATGAGACTCCCTATGAGTTGATGTATAAAAAATCATTTGATTAAAAATTGATAAGAGGCGTTTTTGGAATTAAAGTATGGGCACATATACCCAAAGAGAAGAGAAAAAAACTTAATATGAAAAGTAAACAAGGGATATTTATCGGGTATTCCGAAAATGTGTAAGGCTTTAGGGTATATTATGAAAAAGAAAATAAGGTAAGTTTAGAAAGAGAAATT